TTGGTGGAGCAAAATTTTGGTAAATTTGACCAAATCAAGGTCCCGCATTCATCAAATTTCAAAGGTATTCTGTAGCAGCTGAAATTTTCAACTCTAAACTTCTTTGCCCAATTTTGACACTTCAAAATTTCTAGCTATACAGTATAAGCAAAGCATTATGATATATCCCTTTGCATGCTCTTACTATCCCTGCTCCAGGGTTGATCAGGGCCACTTTGACATCATCAGTGGCATTACGGCCAGGTCTGTAATAAAATTGGCAAAACTTAGTATTCCCTACAGCAAGCATCTCCTCTCACCTTTCCACTCCTTCTGCTCCTGCTCCAGTATTTATAGTATCTGTTGCAGGACTATGGCTTCAAGCTCCAACTATAACAAGGCGGGAAATTATCACGTGACTTTCTTTGAATAACTCTTACCCGAACTATGTCCAACTCTTTTTGGAGCGACTCTATCATGAGATCACACTCTAAACTACTCGTCATACTATCCCCTCTCGGAGACACTGGCTTCTCATCGTAAGGACATCTCTGTTCCAAAGTCTCTTCTTGCCAAAGTTTCTCCGCCATTTTCAATCATTATTGTTGCTATAGAAACTAGTTCTACAACGCGCACGCCCCAAAGCCGCGAAAATTAAAACATAGAACTTTAGGATTATGGTTGCCTAAAATAAAAATCACTTAAGAACTTTTTTGTTTTGAAGACATGATTGCCTAAAAATTATGTTAAGACATAAAACAGATAGTTCATTGTTATAGTTACTCTCTTGTTCAGCTACAAACAAATATTCTTCTTGTAATGGTACATTCACAGAAGATGCAGCAGTCATCATAAATAATTGCTGGAGGAGTAGAAGATATATTACCAGGAAATACAAGTACTGAATTGGTTGCATCTACTGCTTCAGTTGGCCTCTCCATCATGTATATACTATGTAGACTGGAGCTTACCGTAGGCTGCACTGACCACTGCAGCAGTGTAGACTAATTAGATTTTGGGCAGGGCTGACATTCCAAACTGAAAGGAAATGTCAACCAAACCTGAGGAGCTGAAAAGAGCACTCTATTGCACGAAGCATGTTGGAGAGAATTAAAAGATGAACTGAGTACTACGATTGATAGACTGGCCTTCAGGAAAGTGGTAAAATGGATGGAGTCCACCATTAGCTGCTTCATATGGTGGCCATATTGATGTCCTAACATATTCACGTCTAACTTTCTTCTTCATCTGCATGAATGGGAAAACCCTTTCATGCTATCATGCATGGGTCGGAAGGCAAGCGCTCGCTCAGAGTGAGTAGACCCTCCCCTTCCTTCCTCAAGATGTCTTCAGGCATAACTGGTGTTTTGAATAGAGTAAATGGACAGCTACTGTCGTTTGTATCTGTGCTACCATCCAGCAATGCTACTGCTGCTCCCAATGTATGCAACAATGCTGTTGTGCTAATCCCTGGACTCACAGACGGGATGATGTCAATGTGCTATACCAAATCTCTCAATGCTGCACTACTCTCCATTGACTACTCCCTGGTCCAGTTAAACCTATCAAGCTCTTTCTATCAGTTTGGCTTTCAGGACTTGGAGCAAGATAAAAGTGATATCCAGGACATTTTAAATTTTTTAAAAAGAGAGTACAAGTTTGATAAAATCATCCTCTGCGGTCATTCAACTGGATGTCAGGACATACTGTACCTGCTCAGATATGGAGAAGTCTCTCGATTGATCGACGGGGTCATACTACAAGGAGGAGTCAGCGACAGAGATGATATATTAAGCACTGAAGATGGTCCTGCCATGATAGCTGAAGCAGAGAAATTAAAGAGTGAAAATAAAGCGGAATATTTCGTAACGTACAAACACTGTGATGCTCCAATAACTGCCTCTCGGTTGCTAAGTCTTGCCGGTAGACTAACAAAAGATGACATGTTTTCCGTTGATCTTACAAAGGAAGAATTAGCCCCAATACTACAGCCTGTCACAGTTCCTATACTTATTGTATACAGCAGTGAGGACGAGTATGTACCAGATAAAGAAGGACAAAGAGCTTTTGCTGATCGAATGGTTGAAGTTTTGAAAAGCACAAGCCCTTCAGTGCAGCTGGAGTATATTGAAGGTGCAGACCACGGTCTCTCAACTGGAGGGGAAGCATTTGTACAACTTGTTACGGACTTCATTAAAAAACAATTTTGAGTCGACTGATATTACTTTTTTGGTTTAAATTATTATTATTATTAGCAACAATGTACATAGTTTAAATTAATGATAATAATAATTAACTAACCATAATATCTAAAAGCATCATTATGATAATATTGTTCATTGTGCAACAAACACTGTATTAAAATCAACAAAAGATTTTTATTATATATTATTTTCGTCAGACGATGTTTGCTGTAATTCATATAATGTTTGCTGTAGATTTGTCCAATCGTCAGATTGTGGTACACATAATGCCTGATAAAAAATAAGTACTATATTATAGGCTGTCTGTAATGTACATGTACAAGCGTATTTTTCCCTGCAACCAAAATTGCTTTACAGTAACACAATGCACCAAATAAGGCAAAAATAGAATTGGTTCAAATGCTGTGGTTGCTTATGGTATTACATTATACAGTGCTTTCAGCAGCAAGCAAGATATGCTAAATCAGCCCCTTAACAATTGTAACATGTACATGTACAGCATAATTCCCTAATACATTCTGTTGACTTACTTCACCAGCTTCATATATATGTATATTACCATCAACATCTCCTACAGCTAGTAACAAACCATTGGGACTCCAACTAACTTTACTAAGGGCAATATCAAGGCCTTCGGTTAATATAGGCACCTAATTAATAAGTGGGAGGGGCTTAAAATTTATAACCAAGCCCACATGTTAATTACTTCAACGTCATGATTGAGATTCCAGAAATCAATTTTTCCCTCAACATTGACTGATACAAAGAGAGCAGGATGGATGGGGGACCACTTCACATCATTCACATAATCAGAGTTTGTCTCAAACGAACACAATGGAGTAGCAGTCTTAGACTAAATGTATGATTAGTAATAAAATAATAATAATAATAATAATAATAACGTACAGTAACTTGTTGTTCATTGGATAATTTCAAGCTCCAAAGTTTAACAGTCCAATCAACTGATGAGCTTAAAAATAAATGTGAAAAATCAGCCTAATAGGATAATAATAATAATAATAATTATTATTATTATATAGTAAGCCCCACCCATTAATTAATTAATTACTTGATCAATATTAGTAGCTTTGTGACAGGAGACTGAGGATATGTTGCCATAGTGACCTTCATACTGGACCACAACTCCAGGCTTCCTATCATTAATAAGCAGATGGTAATTTTCACAAAACTTTAAAGAGACTTTAAAAAATAATCGTAATACTCATAAAAACAATAAAAAAGAGAATTCTTCCTAGCAATTTTGACTAAATACCGGTACATGGTCTTTGGCCTAATTTTTGAGTAATTTAAAAAATTCATTAAAGTGTAAGTGCAGTGATTTTTAGGGTCTCTATTTTATTGGCTTAATATGATTGCCTGACCATAATAATAATAATGTGTTCCAACTCCCATTGTCTAAAAAAACTATTCGCTGAGATATGATGCAAGAACATGTATATGTATCAGAAAATTATTATAAAAAGGAAGAATTCTCACCTAACCATTTTAGCAAAATTTGGCCAAAGTTCCTGTATCTATAGTACAGGGACTTTGGCCTGATTACAAATGCTCTTACTTTCCATGACGCTGTCCCTGATATACAACACCCTCTTCACTTCCAACAATAAACTTATTAACTTCACCGACAGGAAAATCAAGAGACGTGACAGCAACCGGCCTCGGGTGTCTACTCTGCAAATCAATACTCTCCTAATGAGAGAGCGAGAGAGGGAGGGAGAGTGAGAGAGAGAGAAGAGAGAGAAAAGAAAAAAAGGAGGAGGGAGAGTGAGAGCAGTAAAATAATGATACATTTGTAAATGCATGTCAAATAATAAATCCATACTTGTGGTTGTGATAAATTATCAATATTCCATGAGCATAGCTTGCCATCAGTTGAGACAGATATCAAACTGTGAGCATGTTCACTTCCAATCAGTTCCAGGCAGTAAATTGGGTGAGTGTGAGCTGAACTGGACAGCAGTGAGCGCTGGACCGGAGTCCTTTTGCCACTCCGTATATCCCAGAGGACTATCTGACCACTGTATGTACCACCAATCACGTAATGAGGATGAAATTTACTAAATGTGACTGACATGACTGGACTCTGTAATAGGAAAGAGAAGAAGATATACATGCACATGCACATGTACTCAAATTATCATGTATTGTAGAGTATTATTGCTCACATAGCAATTGAATATGAAGTCTGGAGTGTCCTTTTTAAACTTAAGGTCCCACATGAGGACGGTTCCATCAGGATCAGAGCTGACATTACTATCAACTTGGTAATACGATGCTAATACCATACCACTGTGCTATAGGTAAAGAAGAGTTTATATTATAAATACAGTACAAGTATAAAATACACACATACATGTGGCGACCAGGCTATCGAAGATACAATCTTTCCTTTCGTCCATCTCTCGTCAAAAAACTGTCTCTTCTTTGACACATTAATGGACAAGCCATCACTATACAACAAACAATGGTTTTACATGTACATGTACTACACACGCTTACCCTGTTCCTTTTGCCTCATTCCCAGCTGATATATCAAACAGTACATCTGATGTTTCGGCTAGAAGCCTCTCCATCACGAGTGATGATCGCTCAATAAATGCCGCAAATTCCTCAGATTGTAATATCAATTGTCTACTTTCATCATTAATCTTTCCCTGGGGTAGAGGGAGGCTTCCTGTCTCCTCCATTGCTTCAGCTCCTCTCTCCTCTTTACCCTTATCAAGGTCCTACGTAATATAAATGGTTCTGTAGTATTGTACATTAGAGCTACATGTACCTTAATGGGAGTCACAGAGACGGAGGTGTCGATATCAAACGACTCGTTGTTAGTCGGAGAGAGTGCGTTGCTTTCATCTAGCACCGTTTGTGTGTGCTTCTCATATACCTCTATAGTCTAATAATAATAATAATAATAATAATAATAATAATAATCATCTGCATAATAAAACTTATACCTTTGGCTTAATATTAATAGGTAGTAATTGATCAATCGATAAATGAACAGATCTTTTATTTGATTGTTTAACTGCTGTTACAGGAACGTCTACCCTTTTAACATCAGCATCCTTACCAGGGCCAGAAACATCTGACTTACCTAAAAAGAATAATATTAATTATTATTACTATTACTACTACTACCTGATCCAGTAGGTGCTGCTGCTGCTGGTGCTTTGACTGATGGTCCAAGTATTTCTGCTACAAGCTCATCAACTGTTTCTCTTTCACTGGATACTCCAGAAAGACTGCCACTCGTGGAGACTAGGTCTTTGTTTAAAGCCTTAATAATAAATAATTATTAAATAAATGTTAGGCCTGAAGGTGAAATTTAATTCCAAACTAACTTCTTTGTCTTTTACTTCTTTCTTTTTGCTATCCCTAGCTAGCCTCAGCTCCTCAAGGCGTTTCTTTCTTCTCTCTATCTCTGCCTTTCTGTCCGCCATTTTGTCTCAAGGGGCAGTCATGTGAAAATCACGTGCGAAAACGATCACCATTTTAACATCACGTGATGAATATTAGTTAAGCCCCGCCCAATTGAATTTTATAATCACGTGACCGTTAAATGTCCGCCACTAGCTGCACATGGTCATTGAATTAATTTCAATAGAAGTGTCAAGTCCATTATTAATATAATAGTCTAATAAGTCTATTGTCATGTCTGAGCCAGGTAAGTATGAGAAGAGAACCAGAGCTGCAATTCCTTGTTTTATTGTGCAGGAGGCAAGAAGAAAAAAGGGAAGGGTAAAAGCCAAGCAAAGAAAGCTACAGTATTGTCACTGAATGAGTTTTTAGCTGACAGTCCCTCCTCTTCACCGGCAGCACCTTTTAGGACGAAGAGTTGGGCTGATGAAACAGCTGATCTTGATGTTGATGGTTTGTTTATTAACAGATAGTGATAAATAATAATAATTTTGTTGCTGTAAATATAATAAGTGTAATTAATGAGTTAAATTAATGTTGATTTTTTTATTGTTAGATTCAACCTATTGGCCTGATGATCGTCCTCCTAAGCCACGTGTTAATCTAAGTACTTTACCTTCAGCTCCTCGTGCAGCTACAGTCCCTAATATTGACCCATCCCGTCTACCTAAGAACCCACCATTCACCGTATTCCTTGGAAACTTGTCGTACGAAGCTAACGAAGATGACATTAGAATATTCTTTGAAAGAAATAAATTAATAGTGACTGTAAGTTGCCCTCTCTCTGTCTCCTCTCTTTCTCTTCGAATCTGGTGTCTTTTGTTTCTTATTAATACATGTATGTATTGTATTGTAGTATTTGGTAGTGAGTACTTTTTGGCTGCTAACACTTTTGTGTGTAACCCTGCCTCTGTGTTGTGTGTGTATATAAAATATTGTGCAAGATACTCTATTGGTAATGAATTAAAATTGGCCAATGGGGTAATCGCCAATATAAAATCCACCATTTTGTTTCAGACTGAGCATGCTCAATGACATGTGGCACAAAGTGACCAATAATTGTTGTATTAAATTTGCTAATTATTTTCTACTGACAAATTTGCCAAATATTGCTCTTGTCAATAATCATCTTGTATGGTAATGATTTATAAATTATAATGATCAATAGACCGGATCAGTACGTCTGGTGAGAGATAAAGATGGTCGCATGAAAGGTTTTGGATATGCAGAATTTGAGAACCTGTCCGACCTAATGGAAGCACTGTCTCTAACTGGACTGGTATGTACTATCTAATAATAATTATTATTAATTATATATTGAATTATTAGAATGTTAGAAATCGGCCATTGCAGATTGATGTAGCTGAAGGAAAAGGTGAAGGAGGTGGGGGCGGTTATGAGGGGCGTCGCCGTTATGATGAATCTGATCGCACAGCCGGTGATTGGAGGAGTGGACCAAGAGCTCAATCTCCACCATCTTCCCCTCCCTCTCGTAGAAACAGATCAGACAGGTATTCTCCTCCACGCGGCGGTAGATATTCCCCCCCTCGTGGGGGCAGATATTCTCCTCCTCGGGGCAGATCTGACCGGTATTCCCCTACCCGTGGGGGCAGATCGGATCGATATTCTCCTCCCCGTGGAGGCCGATATTCCCCTTCTCGTGGGGGCAGATTTGATCGATATTCTCCTCCCCGTGGGGGCAGATCTGGTCGATATTCTCCCCATGGTGGTTTCAGGTCAGACAGGCATTCTCCTCCTCGTGGAAGGAGTAATGATTTTGGTGGTCGTGATAGATACCAATCACCTAGGAGAAGGGACTTATCCCCTGGACGTGAGTACTCACCCTCAAGAAACCAAAGGTCACCACATAGAGACGAATCACCAAGAAGAGAAGGCCAGGATAGGGACTCTCCTCCTATCCCAGAACGAAATCGTTACCCACGGGAAACTGACAGTCCTTCAAATGAAGACACTCCTCCCACTAGTAATGAAGCTCCACCCACAACTACCGATGATATAGATTTGCCTGACAATGATAGACTGGTTGATGGTGAAAAACAAGATGACAATGAGCCACAGGAAAAGGAAACAGTTAGAGAAGAGCATCGAGATAACAGAGATGATCGTCCATACAACAGAGATGGAGAGGATCGTCCATACAGAGATGATCGTCCATACAACAGAGACGATCGTCCATACAACAGAGACAATCGTCCATACAACAGAGACGATCGTCCATACAACAGAGATGATCGTCCATACAACAGAGACGATCGTCCATACAACAGAGACGATCGTCCATACAACAGAGACGATCGTCCATACAACAGAGATGATCGACGACATGACAGGGATAGAGATGACCGTCCATATGGCAGAGATGATCGTTCGTACAATAATAGAGATGATCGACGATATAACAGAGATAGAGATGACCGTCGATATGATAGAGATGATCGTCGATACGAGAGAGATGATCGTGGTAGATTTGGTTCCTCGTGGAGAGAAGGAGGAGGAGGAGGAGGTAGGCGTGGTCCAGGTGGTGATAGAGGAAGAGACTATTATGGAAGCAGGAGGGACGAAGGAGGAGATTATAGGCGGAGTCCCGAGCCAGTTCGCGAGGAGAGAAGGAAAATAATACTACAACCGAGGTCCAAGCCAATAGATACCGAGCAGGAGAGTAGATCCCCTGGTACGATATTTGGCGGAGCTAAACCTGTGGACACTGCCAAAAGGGAACGAGAAGTCGAAGAGAGACTGAAGGCAAAAGAAGATGAGCAAAGAAGGCAAAGCGAAACAAAAAAGGTATCGATATTTGGTGGAGCAAAACCAGTGGATACACGTAAGAGAGAGAGCGAGATCGAAGAGAAAATAAGATTGGCTAGAGAAGAAGCAGAAACTAAAGGTGACAATGAGAGAAGAACAAGCGATAGTGATGCTAAAGTTTCTGATGAGCCTCAGTCTAACGAGGAGACCAGTAAGGCAGAGGATAAACCTCGCAAGTATGACGGGCCAAAATCAAGAAGAAGTGACGATTCGGGGGGGCGTACCAGGAAATTTGAAAACGACAGACCTCGTAGAGAAGATACTGATAGGCCACCTCGTAGGGAGGATAATAAAGGACGTGGCTTTGGAAATAAGAGAGGTTAGTTTAATTTTATTAGCCTACTATTAAATATTGACTATTCATATTATTATTTTATTGTAGATGTACGTGAAGGAGAGGTTTCTGTTAGAGGGCGGGGCAGGGGGCGAGGTAGGGGACGTGGTGGCAGTGAAAGACCAGAAAAATCTCAGCCTTCTCAACCTAAGAAATATGAAGAACTGGAGAAACCTGTTAGTTAGGCTGCGTTTACACAGCAACGCAAAACGTATCGTTTTAAAACGATACACTTTGAACACCGTTTTCGTTTCCATAGAGTCCTATCAAGATTCTATCACGTTTTCATTCGTTTCTGTGTAAACAGAAGCATAAAACAGGCACAAAACTGTACGGATTGCATCATTTTCGTTGCCGTGTAAACGCAGCCTTAATGTGTTTAGATTTTAGAGAGAAGAGTTTTAGGTCTATTTGGCCTACAGTACAAAATAGATCTCACTTACAGTAGTACATCATACATGTATACCAATTACCAAGAGTAGATGTACAGTACTTATACTGTTACTGTTAATTATTATGACAATTATGCCTTGGGCTATGTATGGAAGTGTTTTTTATTTGCACTGCTATTAACAAATATTATCATTATTACATTGTATTATTTTTGTTATTATCATTAGTTTTATTTATTGCCCTTAGGATTTTCAACAGAAGAACAGATTTGCATCACTAATGGATGAAGATGAAGGAGATTATGAGAAGCAAGTGTCTGCTGGGGACGGACAACCGACTTAAATTAAGTGTCGCAAAATAAAGAGGAACAAAAAAACAAATTTAATTTTGCTAAAATAATTTTGATAGGATTAAAAATTAATAACGAAAGCTATAAAATATTGTTAATAATTCTCTTTTCCTTGTTAAAAAATATGATAGTAATCTTTTAATTTGTAGCTATTTCTGGTACGGGCGTGAGTGTATTAGATATCTCTGGAACTGGTGTCAATGTTGGCATGGCTGACATTGCTTTTCTTTTACCAGCTGGTTTGACAAGCCCAGGTGCTGGGCTCGACCTGTATGCTGTTGCCGACTTTTCTCTGAATAGCTTCATTGTAGCTGGAGCACTTTGTGTGCTTCGCAACATACGTCTGTTTATCGGCTTTGGGTTCTCAAAAGGATCTAAACATTACATCATTTATTGCACAATATTTTTAATAATATAATTGTATATATAATACCTTCATAATCAAAAACTGACGGTTGTCTTCTTAGATCAAAAGTGTTTCTTCGGTATCCTTCTGGTCCGTTGTAACCATCTTTGCTTGGGTCCGTAGGTACGGACAAATGTCCTCCATACACACGTCTTGTATAGCCTATCAATTGTGTTGCTATTGTTGCTATTGCTCTTCTTATTGCTTACTTGTTCCTTTTTCAAGCCTGTCTTTAAGGTAATAGCTGGCTTCCGTTGATTTAAAAAATTTATCCTCAACTTTACCAATCATTGGTTCAGGAGTCTAGCATTATTTGTGAATGAAAAATAGCAATAATAATAAGTAGATGCTTTACATTGTCTTACTATATTTTTGGGTAGTGCTTTTGTTTTTGAGAAATAGCCAGAGCAGTGCTTGTCTTCAGTAGCTCGGTACTGCGGTATCCCGATGTTAATTGAAGGATGTGTCCTCGCTGTTTCTTCGTTCGTTAGTCTACTCAGCACAACACCGTCAAGGACAAATCCCTTTTCCAGCTCTTTGAGCTTCTCTTGACTTTCGTGGGAAAACTTTCTCACTCTAGGAAAGAAAGGCTTGCTCCCGCTGCTTTTTGAACGGTATCGTCTGGTAAGACCCTCATTAGCCCCTGGGCTAACCAGCCTCGTCTCCTTTATGACAGGCAAAGCAATTTTCTCTCCTTCATCCAAAAGAACAGCATTAACTGGTTCCATTTCTCTGTGCTAGCTAGCTAGCTGCAGCTAGTTTGGGTGGAGCTGCGCTTATTGTTGCAGGAAAAAGGCGTGGCTCAATGGATATCACATAAATGTCATTAAAATGATTTAGAAATCAATAATATTCATTATTCATCATGGCAGTTAGTAAAGTTTGTAAACAAAGTGATATTTTAAAAACCTCTGCTACTGAAGACGAGGAATCACTGGAACACAGGCATAAAAGGAGAGAGACAGAAATACCCAGTACTGGCACCCACTCTGATAATATCTGTGATGATATACTAACAATTGAGAGAATCCAATGTGAACTGTTACTACAGCTGGATTATTCCTCTAGTCACGTGACTCATGTATATAATCCAATAGACTATGCCTCAGAGCCTCACTGTTATTATGTAAGACAGTACGGTAATGGAAAGAAACAAGTTCTATTTATTGGAATGAATCCAGGGCCTTTCGGAATGGCACAAAATGGAGTGAGTACATTTATACCATATATGGAATTGGTGAATATTTAATTAGGTACCATTTGGTGATGTAACTCAAGTCAAAGAATGGCTAGGGGTCAAAGGTCAAGTGTTTAAACCAGAAAACGAGAATCCTAATAGACCAGTAAAGGGACTCTCCATCACTCGTAATGAGGTTTCTGGCACAAGGTTCTGGTCTCTCATGAAATCCATTGCTGGGACTCCAAAAGCGTTCTTTAGTATCTGTTATGTTCATAATTACTGCCCACTTTGCTTCATGACGGCCTCCGGTAAAAACGTAACTCCTCCATCATTGAAAGTCAGAGAGAGAAAACAGCTTGAAAGTATATGCGATAAATCACTGACTGATTTCATATTATTGTCAAATGTTCGGTATATTGTCTGTGTTGGTAAATATGTGGAAACAAGAGCTAAGCTGATTGCTAAAGACTTTACTAGTTGGAAGATAGAGATTGGTTCCATCACTCATCCTTCACCTATTAACCCATCCGCTAATAGAGGAGACTGGGTAGCTATGGCCACCCAACAATTAAGAGAAATGAATGTATTACCAGTTATGATCAATGAAAATCATATTTAAACCTTTAATAATCACTTTTAACAACCTTCACAAACATTGCAATCAAAAAATGTGATAATCAATGCGTAGGCGTGCGAGCAAATTTTATGGGCGTGTGCAATATGCACTGGGTGGGTGTGGTTTATCTTTTCAAAATGGCTGCCGATATGGAGGTGACATTGGTAAGATAAACAAGTTATCATTACTGTTCACACTTTATTCTAAACAGACTACAGTCCTTTATTATGCTAAGGAAGGCTACTATAGACACATGCAGTCTGCTCTCTCTGATCTGCTCACCCGCTTCGGATCTGAGCCCATTCTTTTATTCTGGAAGGCATTTAGCATGATATTAGAGGGTATATAGTACATTCTTACGCCTTTAAACTGACTGTGTATTATTATTATATAGATAGAGTGATAGAAGGTATTAGAGAGGCTAGAGATATACAAGAGAGTCCAGATCTAATAATTGCTATTCCTTTATTACTGATACACGCCCACAGACAGTGTAGTACTATCGACAAAGAAGCCATTCATGAACTGGAGACTAGTATCAAAGCCAATCGGAGAACCTGCTCTGATACCGTATGTAATTAAATACTGCTCACTTGTTATTCTAATTAATGCCCAGGCCCTGTATTATGCCAGTATAGTATATTGGTTGGCTGGTAGAAATGACAAGGCTAAGGAATATCTCGAGAAAAGTTTAAAATCGTCGCCTACGCCTAAAGTAAATGTGCACACGCCAATTAATTAATTTATTATTATTATTATTATTTATTAATTGTAGTCGTTTTCATTGATGGGATGGATTAATTTGATGTCAGGCAAAGATGAATATGCCAAGAAAGCAATTAAATATTTTGACGAGTCGTTTAAATAGTAATGATACATTTAATTACAAATGTTATCATCATCATTATTATTATTATTATCATTATTATTATTAATGCATTTTGTAGTAAGCCAGTCCCACTATTAGCAGTATTGGGAAAAGCAAGATACCATTTCAATAACTATCAGTACATTCAAGCAATTGAAGTCATCAACGCTGCACTGGTGCCAATGGCAACTTGCATACCACTGTGCATTGAAAAGATGAAGATAGAATTAGCACTTAATGAATGGGACGTTGTCATTGAAACTGCTAAAAGGTATCTTATTATTGTATTATTATTATTATTATTATTATTATTATTATTATTATTATTATTAACGAAAGTTAGAATTAGGACAAAGTTAGGGCAGGATGAAAAATGAAATAAAAATAATTAGGTTGATAGAGATTTAAAAAAAAAATAATAATTTAATAAGGATGAAGTTAAGTTATGGATTTAAGTGATTATAAGGTCCAAAGGGGCTCCGTCACAGGTATCAACAGATCTCCATTTTGTCCTGGAGCCACGGAGTATTATTATTATTATTTATTATTATTATTATTATTATTATTATTTATTATTATTATTATTTTAGATGCTTATCCATTGATCCTAACTGCATTGAAGCCACTCAAATGATGGCACTGGAGCAATGCATTCGTAATGGAAACATGAACGAGGTAAACAAATTGCTTATTGTTATTATAATTGTTGTTATTGTTGTTGTTATTATTGTAATAGGTTGCATCATTGCTTGGTACACTGATAGAGCAGTTAGACCGATCAGAGCCTCAGTCCCATCACTTATACATAAAGATCAGCAGTGCCTTTGCACGCCTGTCAGGAAAGCACTCGCTAGTACTCCAGCAAACCCAATCAATGGCTGACAGAGCACTCTCTCTAGCTCCTTCATCTACTCCTTACATGATAGAGAGAGCCTATCAGTACTTACTGGCTGGTAATACTCAGTCGGCTATCAATTATTATAAGAAATCACTGACACTGAGTGATACTAACATGTCTGCCCTCATGGGAATGATTCACTGCAAGCTCATCATTAATAAAACCACTGAAGCCCAGCAGCAGCTGGAGTTTATTAATGAATTACAAGGCTCTTCAAAATCAGCTGTAAGCCCAATGAATGAATAATTATTATTGTTTAGTAATGACTGATAGGAGTTGTTGTATTATAATGCATTGGCTGGGTATCAGAGAGGTAGCATGACTCAGGATGATGTAGTGGAGTTGATCAGTTCTGCTACTAAAACACTCTTCTCGTCTGTTAAAGCAAGTCTTTATTTTCCTCTATGTATTATAATATTGATGTACATATATTAATTTTATTATCAATTCATCATCGTTAATCATTACTATTATATTTATTATTATTATTATTATCATTAGGGATATCCATTAGGACTGGAATATTTCATTCATCTCAATCCTGTTTTTGTAATGAGCATGGGAGAACTGCTAATGTTATATGCACCCAATGAAGTAAGCATACTACT